ATAAAATTCAAAATCTAATTGCTAAGATTTATTTCAACTAGTAATTTAGTTAATTCTGCATATAAGATCAAATTATTCCATTTTCCTTCGGAAAACAGATAATTGGAATTAGCTGCCTTATTTTTTCTACTTCTAAACTATCATTATCTCTTAGAATAACTCCTGACCCCAGAACAAAGTCATTTCCATTAAAATTTCTACCTTTATGTAAGCCGAAATGCTTAATCCAGTTTTCATTAATGATATGTGTAATGAATTCAATATTCTCTGATTGTAACCTTTGAAGTCTATCCAAAACGGTGTCTAGTGTTGGACGCTGACTTGGTTCTGAAGACCAACATTGATTGTAAAGATCAACATAATTCAGAGGCGTATTGATAATTTCTTTTTCTCGCAAACCATCCGAAATCTTTCTGATTAAAATATATTGATTAGGGCAATTAGAAAATGGAGGGATTCCACTTGTGAGTTCCCAAAACAGTACACCTAAACTATATATATCAGATCTTTTATCACGTTCAACATTTGTTTGTTGAATAAAACATTGTGGCTCAATGTAAGCCAAAACGCCGACCATTTTGGAACCACCAAAAGTGACTGTGTCATCTAATTTTTGTGAATATCCGAAGTCAGAAATTAGTGCTTTACCATCATTGATCAAAATATTTTTAGAATGCTAGGATTTTATGAATGATTTAGTAATTTGACACCTAAAATTAAAAATCATACACATATTTAAAGGATAACACACCAGATCCCGATGAATAATATCATTGTCATGCAAATATTTTAACCCATTAGTAATGTCCGTCGCTATTTGGATTAATTCATGCCATGAAATTTTATAAAGACCTATGTGTTGTTTTTGTGCTAAATGATCTTGTAAATTTCCGCCATTAGCCAATTGCAAGACAAGCATAATTTCATCAGTATCAACAGTTTGTGGGACTAGATTTTAAAAATAGGACATTTGAATAAGAATTAAAATTTTAAGCTTTAAACTTTAAAGTAGAACTTTATTATATCATACCCCTTAGAATGCCGTAAAATTTTATCACGTTTGGATGATCAACTTTGTGAAGAAGCTTAATCTATATATAAAATGATATGATTTAATTTTTTAATTTTAATAGGGATGCTTAATCTGTTTAAATTTACTATATAAACATTGATGTTAAGAAACGCAACAGTAAAGAAAACCACATTACCTCACGTTTTAATAATTTACTCGCTTCATTATCGTTTTTAATTAACCGTTTTAAAGCGTATGATTGTCCTTGGAATACGGCAGAATATACATGAGAAAATCCACCATGAGCAATAATTTTACGGTTTTCACATTGTACAGGATCAAATTCTTTATATTGAATTGTTTTAAAAGTGCTTCCACTTGCTGTAAATTAATGAATTCTAGCATTTTTAAATGAATTTTATTAATTACAACTATTAGAAATTTACAAAATTTTTCAAACTCAAAATTAATTAAAATTTAACATACGTTCGGTCATAGTTCAAGTTGTAGTGTAATGAATAAGCATTTCATAGGTTAATACTTATATACAAATAAAATTTTTCAACTGCGTATAAACATATTTTTATTACGTTTCCAAATATGGAGTGCTTTAAAGCCAATGAGGGTCACCTGATTTCGGATATTGCTTTGTTTATATTTGCGTGCTCATGACTTTTTTTTTTTGTTTACATAACAAGGGTACATTATTAACTTTATATTATATTAATGTATAGATTAATAATGCAAATTTAATTTTAATTTATGATAGTTTAATCTTTTGAATAGGATTAAATAATTTGATCTTATATGCAGAATTAACTAAATTACTAGTTGAAATAAATCTTAGCAATTAGATTTTGAATTTTAT